ACTGCAAAGGATCCATTGGTTAGCAAGTGATGTAATGCTAAATTTAAGCTACGGAAAACATAAGTTAACCCTAATGAACTGGTCATTTCCCTTATTTCTGTCTCTGTAATCTTACAAACTTTATTTTTTTGCAAATTGAAAAATGTAATAGTCACATCAAATAGGGAACTATCTTTAAAGTATGCTCATGACCCTTCATGGGCATTTATGTTTTATTGAGCCATCAAATACAATATGTGTATTTGTGTAATTGATCGTTTTGATCTCAAACCAGGCTCAAATACGTGTGTGTGCACTCATGAAGCTCTCTCTGCGTGTGTGTGTTTGTATTTGTGCAGAGCTCTGCACATGTTGGCTGAGTCTGACACGGGCTATCTCTCCAGGTCAGTGTAGATAGCTTTTCCATCTCTAATGTCTTTCCCAGAAATCTCCCCACACACAATGAAGGGCTTATATTCTGCCTTACGTGCATATGTGTGTGTGCTTAAATTCATTTAACCTAGGGCATTTATGACGATAAATTACATGCGCAGCACAGTGAACCAACTGAAAGAAAACAATTACACATATTCATTTGGCGTTTTGAAATTAAGCACCTGCAGAGAAATTCTCTATTATGTCTTTCACAAATATAACCTCCAATATAAAAGTGTTTATAAAATTACAAGCCACAATAAGACTGTAAAACCTTTTAACCTTCAATAAATCGTATTATCATACACTAATTTCTCTCACAAATCACGTGATTTTCCTGGAATACAGAAGATCTTTACCTTAAAATGAAAGTGAATAGTGACCAAGGACTTTCAAGCTCTGAAGAAGAAGAAAAAAAAAAAAGCATAAAAGTGAATAAACTAAAAATGTTCCACTCTGTCGCAGCTTTTAGAGGAAAAAGAGCAGCATGGACATTCTGCTAAATGTCTTCTTTTGTGTTTCACAGAGAAACAATACCCATACAGGTTTGGAACGACAAGTGTGAGTAAATGATGACAGACTTTTCATTTTTAGCAGAATTCTCATTTTTAAATCCATGATATTAGCCATAATATAAAATCATAATATTAGCATCCACACCAGCGGAGAATAACGTTCTGTTTCTATAAGCACGTGCTGCAGTTTTGTCTTCTGACACTTTAAATGGTCTAGCTCATTAAAGGGATAGTTCTCCCAAAAACGAAAATTCTGTCATTAATTACTCACCCTCATGTCGTTCCAAACCCGTAAAACCTCTGTTCGTCTTCGGAACACAAATGAAGACATTTTTTATGAAATCTGAGAGCTCTCTGACCCTCCATAGACAGCAAGGGTACTATCACGATCAAGGCACAGAAACGTAGTAAGGACATCGTTAAAATAGTCCATGTGACATCAGTGGTCCAATCGTAATTCTATGAAGCTACGAGAATACCTTTTTGCACGAAGAAAACAAAAAGAACGACTTTATTCAACAATTCTTCTCCTCCGCGTCACCCTATATAGCGCCATTGTAGGCGCTATCACAAAGCATGTGCATGCTTTTCCTGAATGTAAACAACACATGCATGTGATGCTGCTGACGTAGAACACGCATGCGCTGCACCTTGTTTGCATGCGTCGTGGTACGCTCCAAAATGGCTGTAGGGTGACGTGGAGAAGAATTGCTGAATAAAGGCATTCTTTTTGTTTTCTTTGTGCACAAAAAGTATTCTAGTAGCTTCATAAAATCACAGTTGATCCACTGATGTCACATGGACTATTTTAAAGGGGTCATATGATGTTGCTAAAAAGAACATTATTTGGTGTAATGAAATGTGTTTATGCGGTTTAAAGTAAAAAAAACCATTATTTTCCACATACTGTACATTATTGTTTCTCCTCTATGCCCCGCATTTTGAAACGCGGTCGATTTTTACAAAGCTCATCGGTCTGAAAAGCGAGGTCTGCTGTGATTGGCCAGCTATCCAGTGCGTTGTGATTGGCCGAATACCTCAAGCGTGTGACGGAAATGTTATGCCCCTCACCATACTGTTGATGCCGTGTCCGGCCGGAGC